GTTGAAAGAATAATGTCTTTGTTCATATTTCTAAAGGCTATAGTTGCCTGGAGAAGTAATTTAATAAAGTAAGCCGTTGGTCTCTTGAACTTGAGCCCAGTTAGACATGTTACAATGGAGCCACATAGGAATATATTCCGGGACTCACAACATATCTTCAAATGTAATTCCCTATCCAGGAAAACATGTAATCCATAGATCATTGGATTAATTAGGAAACCTACCAACACCATTTAGGTGAAGGGAGGATTACATTTTTATTGTAAAATGTAGTTGCAATTTTATAACTGAGGATTGATTTCTACCACCTTCTCCCCTCATTAATAAATACAGAGCTCGGAAATAGAAAAATCAATCTTTTTACTGCCCAGCCTAGCCTGGACCTGCACTGTGATTATGTGTTCTTAACATCTTTGTCTTTATCTCTGGGAGGGCCATTATTCTCTGTATCCAGGCCTGGCACATATACAATGATTTCAGAGGACACTGGAATACTGCACTAGTACAAGCAGGGTGAGGGTGGGTGTCTGGTAGATGGTGACTAAATACCCGTTGTTGCCAAAGTGCCATTGTTGCTTAACCCTTTGAGGACCAAGGGACGTATTTGTCCCATGTTTTTAATTGCGTGTATCATCTGATTAAGAACTTGAAACTTTTTTTTTTTGGTTTGAGTCAAAATATTAGTTCTTATCAACAAACAACAAATGGATCTAGCTTTTTGCCAATTATTTCATGAAATGGCTTAGTTACAGCAACTGAAGTGTACGAACTTTAAAAACAAACAAATTGATTCTTTTGGCGTTCCAAAATCTTACGGTCCTCAAAGGGTTAAGAACTTATTCACACAGGTGACAGGCTCTACTACTCCTCTAAAAAGCGTTCCAAGGTATTTGCTTTTTTCAGAGATGTTTTTAGAGCTGATTTATAGCCATACAGGAAGCACCTCTTGACATCTTTATTTTTTTTTCAATCACAGCAGTGATTTAAATATTGCAGGAAAGCTGCATTCCAAGTGCTTGACACGTGGTTGCCGTGAAGGTCCATTGACTTCAATGGGTGAGTTGGCAAGCAGCACTGCTTGTCAAACTAGACATGCCCAGTTAATATTGCCATGGCTTGTAGTGAAGCCATCATGTCACATTGAAGGTGAGCAGTAAGTGGGGGTATAAAAATGCAGATCAGCTGCCTGTTTTTACCACCCCCTGGCTGCTTATGTTACTTAGCCTAACATATAAATATCAGTCTATTATCTAAAAGCCTAATTTCATATTTCATCTGTGTCTGATACAATGAGATATCTAGATTATTTAAATGATGTGGGAATAGGTCTTTCTTTTACAGTTATTAGGTCTTACATATGTTCTAGCAGAACATGGACTGTCCACTGCCTGGTTTGTGGCATGGCAGCTTGAAAACCAGTGTGTTCATAATGTTATACGACTTGACTTGTGTTGGAATTGTGAGATGTAGTTTCCCATGCATTGGGTATGTCCTTACGTGGCACAACTATTAAGCTGGCACTTAACTAAACATGTTTTGCTTCTTCCACTTCCTGTAGTAGACAGGGAGGGACGCTAATCAGTAATTATCTATGCCTTGGGCTAGTAGGATATTTGCCATGGTTTTTTTTTTTTTTTTCTTTTTGCATCTTTCACTATTGTCTTTAGTTTTATTTGCTTTAAAAACTAGTTGTATTGGTTAGACAGGTTGTGTTGCTGCTTAAGGAAGACCAGGGTTTCCTCTGCAGTTTCTATATGCTCTCTATTTATGTAGAAGCATTATGACAAACAATTGAGTATTTGGAATGTACCATTATATGTCTACATTGCCAATTTGTGTATAGTTTATTACTAAAAATTGTATATTTTGGTGTATGCAAATAAATGTAAACCTCTTGTAATGTCTATTCTTTTTTTAATCTGAGAAAATGTTACATGAATCAATTGTCCTAGCAAATATGTATTTGTTAGAAGTCACAAAGGAAAAAGCTTGCAAGCAAACTGCTAATGTCCTGCTCTTAAAGCTGATCTCCATGTACAAAAACTATAAAGTATAACTAAAAGCAAAACTTTTCTTTTAGATAGAGAGGAAAGGGAATAGAACATCTGTCAGGTTTTTATTAGTGTATTCATCCCACTTGGAGAAATTCACACTTTGTCCAGTTTATAATTATTACTGTGAGTGAACGTGTAAGAAAATCCCAATATTTTGGGCTGTCGGCAGAAAAAAAATGGATGGGAAATGTTCCTGTGGTGACTAGGTTTGGTGACAGCCAGGGATTTCCTCACATTTCCTTTTTTTGCCTGTGGGAAAGAAAGTCAAGGGAAGTCTCCTTAATGGCAAAGTTACTGCTTGGCCCCACCCCTTGTCCTTCCAGCACCTTGCTTCATAGTTCTAATGAAGTGCCTGGAAGGTAAGTTTGGGTCTGTGGGGTTTCAGAGATTTTAGTACAAAGCTACAGACCTGTGCAGCCACCTTTTAATGACCTAATTACGTAGTGAAGTATTTGCCAAACGTGCCTCAAGTTCCACCAATGGTTTTTCCACATGCGTTGCTAAAATGCATTGCTGATTTATTTGCTGCCCTAAGTGTGGTCACTGGCACAACAACTGCTCCTGATGGGACTCTGGGCAGGTTTTTGAAATGCAACTGTAGTACATATGCATACAATTGACACTAAAAAGCAAAAGTGTTGGTGGAATGATATCTGATTTAGCTTGTTGGCGGAGTGGTAACTTGGAAGCATTTACAAATGCACCGTTTTTTATTTGAATTGTCAGGCAGTGCTTGATAATCACTCCTGCTGGCTCTCTTTAAAGATAAACAACATTTATAGGACTATGTTGATGTGCATATTACAGCTGGTAAATCAAAATCTAGATGTCATTTGCAGTGTTAAGATAAATGTAGAAAATGTTAACAAAGGTAATGTGAGCTTTGCATGTGATCACAGTAAACTGAACTATAGTAAATACAGTATCTCACAGAAGTGAGTACACCCCTCACATTTTTGTAAATATTTTATTCTATCTTTTCATGTGACAACACTGAAGAAATGACACTTAGCTACAATGTAAAGTAGTGAGTGTACAGCTTGTATAATGGTGTAAATTTGCTGTCCCCTCAAAAGAACTCCACACACAGCCATTAATGTGTAGACCTCTGGCAACAAAAGTGAGTACACCCCTAAGTGAAAATGTCCAAATTGGGCCCAATTAGCCATTTTTCCTCCCTGGTGCCATGTGATTCGTTAGTGTTACAAGGTCTCAGGTGTGAATGGGGAGCATTTGTGTTAAATTTGGTGTTCTCACTATCTTACTGGTCACTGGAAGTTCAGCATGGCACCTCATGGCAAGAACTCTGAGGATCTGAAAAAAAGAATTGTTGCTCTACATAAAGTTGGCCTAGGCTATAAGAAGATTGCCAAGACCCTGAAACTGAGCTGCAGCGTGGTGGCCGAGACCATACAGTGGTTTAACAGGACAGGTTCCACTCAGAACAGGCCTTACCATGGTCGACCAAAGAAGTTGAGTGCAAGTGCTCAGTGTCATATCCAGAGGTTGTCTTTGGGAAATAGACGTATGATTGCTGCAAAGATGTAAGGGGTGGGGGGTCAGCCTGTCTGTGCTCAGACTATACACTGCATCAAATTGGTCTGCATGGCTGTCGTCCCAGAAGGAAGCCTCTTCTAAAGATGATGCACAAGAAAGCCCGCAAACAGTTTACTGAAGACAAGCAGACTAAGGACATGGATTACTGGAACCATGTCCTGTGGTCTGATGAGACCAAGGTAAACTTATTTGGGTCAGATGGTGTCAAACGTGTGTGGCGGCAAAGACTAGTGTGTCTTGCCTACAGTCAAGCATGGTGATGGGAGTGTCATGGTCTGGGGCTGCATGAGTGCTACCGGAACTGGGGAGCTACAGTTCGAGGGAACCATGAATGTCAACATGTACTGTGACATACTGAAGCAGAGCATGATCCCCCTTCCTTCGGAGAGGGGGCCACAGGGCAGTATTCCAACATAACGACCCCAAACACACCTCCAAGACAACCACTGCCAGAGGGTAAAGGTGATGGACTGGCCAAGCATGTCTCCAGACCTAAACCCTATTGAGCATCTGTGGGGCATCCTCAAACGGAAGGTGGAGGAGCGCAAAGGTCTCTAACATCCACCAGCTCCGTGATGTCATCATGGAGGAGTGGAAGAGGACTCCAGTGGCAACCTGTGAAACCCTGGTGAACTCCATGACCAGGAGGGTTAAGGCAATGCTGTAAAGGTAGCCACACAAAATATTGACACTTTGGGCCCAATTTGGATATTTTTACTTAGGGGTGTACTCACTTTTGTTGCCAGCAGTTTAGACATTAATGGCTGTGTGTTGAGGTATTTTGAGGGGAAAGCAAATGTACACTGTTATACAAGCTGTACACTCACTACTTTTACATTGCAGCAATGTGTCATTTCTTCAGTGTTGTCACATGAAAAGATATAATATATTTACAAAAATGTGAGGGGTGTACTCACTTCTGTGAGATACTGTATATCAGATGTACCCAAACGACACTGAAAGGCATATCGGTAAACATTTCTTGATCATTAGTCTGAGATTGATTACCCTTAACTTTGTGTGACAGACACATCGCCCATCTCATTTGTGAAGTCAAGGAGATTTGCTATAGAAACTGCCACAGGACACTATTCATCAGACATTTTCAGGGCAAATTTAAGGCAGAAGCTGGAAGTGGCCAACTCGTACTGTTGGTGAAAGGATGCCTGCAAATAGTAACCAGCTGTGAACTGTGTAGTATGAGAACAGCTGTAGACTTTATGCTGTAGACCAATGATGAATTAAACTTTCATGTTCTGTGAACTAGCATTTTAAAAACATTAATTGTACTGTCATAGTTTACTTTGATCTTGCATTGTGTTATAAGGTTGTGTATTTATATACCTGTTTTTATAAATATTTCAGGAAATAATACAACACTGGGTCATTATGGGGGACATAGAAGGAACATATCGTGTGCTGCAGACTCCAGGTGCCCGCCTGGGAGCAGAAAGAAGCACTGGCATTAGCACACTGGAACCAGGACAGAACCTCAGCACAGCTCTATCATCTTCTCCTTCCAAGAACATCAACCAAAATCTTTCTTCGTCTGTATTGCTGCTGGATGGTACAGAACTACCAGTGGAAATTGGGGTATGTTATGGAATGTTCTTTAAAGAGTATCTGTGGTCACAATTTAAAATCAAATTCATTTCCGCATTGTATTTCAAATATTTCTAACCTACTCTTCTTAATCTGAATGATCTCGAAGTGTGTACGCCTCGCATTTCTTCCTTGAATTCTACAACACTTGTTCACTGTGCCCTGTGAGTAGGGTCCTCTCTGTCACAGAATTTGCAGAGCCTGCCTTCTGAACTGCTGAGAGGAGTTTCAGAAATCACAGCTTGCAGGCAGCAAGGTACCATGGGATTTGTAGTCCTTTTAGAGTGTGTTTATTTATTGAAAGTAAACAGCAGAGGAAAAGCTGCAATACATTCAGGGAATTCAAGAAGTTGATGGTCATCAAACAGGCAGCACTCACAACATGAAAGGAGATTTTTTTTCAAATATACTTAACCCCTTTCCAACTGCGTAACACATACATGTGGGCTTTAATCCTGGGTGCCGCATATACGTGTTTGTGTTTGAAGCACGATGGCAGCACTGAGACCAAGCTGTTGATGAAAGCCCCAGGTCTTCTACGAACGATCAGGACCAATCATATGATTGCGGTGTTGGCCTCTGATTGTGATCCACCCATGGTGGATGGCATAAAAAATATTCAGCTAAAATCTAGCCTTTTTTGAGCTGTTTTTCTTACATAATAAAACAAAACCAGGTGATATCCATTACTATTTACCACCAAATAAAAGCCCAACCTGTCCTAAAAAAAACAAGGTATAATCCACCTGGATACATGAAGACACTGTGATATATGTACAGTTTTTGATATGTACAGTTACAAATTTGGGTTTGGTTGTTAGATCACAAATGTAGTGCATTTGCAGGCATCAAAACGCATGGTATTGCAGCACAGGCAGTCCCTGAGTTACAAACACAATCGGGTCTGTAGGTTTGTTCTTAAGTTGAATTTGTATGAAAGTTGGACCAGGTACATTTTTTTAAGTGTAGCCCCAGCCAAAATAAAAAAATGTTTACTTTTTTTTTTTGTTTTTTTGTTGTTTTTTTTTTTTGGGATAGCATAGAGCAGGATTAACACCCCTGTAATGTTTGTTTTGTTGTCTGTGCCCATGTTTAGAAGATTTCACCTCACTTTCGGTCCCTGTGACAATTTGGAGTTTGAAAATTTTGGGTTGTCCTATAAATAGATTGGTGGTGAAACTTCAGTGGAAACACTTTTTATCCCATGATAACTCTTACAGAAGTGAATTTCCTTTCCTAGGGGTAGATTTCCTCTCTCTTCTTATTTCTCCGTTCGTAAGTACGAGTCTTTCGTAACTCAAATGTTCCTGACTCAGGAATCTGAGTTCCTGCACCATGTTTATGTAGTAAGCAATACCAGTGAGTCTCCAGGTTCTTGTAAGCAAAATTGAGAGCCTTGGTGGATTTTAGTTCCTCGAATTAATAGAAAGCAGTTGTTGAATCATCATCCTGTGCTCAGATAAATACAGACGTAAAGTGAGATGAGACAATCAGCAAGGTATAATGTAAACAGAACCTGCATGTAATGAATAAAGGGCTAGATATGATAGGTCTACTGTATGTTATTATACCTTACATGTTGTTTTTTTAGTGTATCAATACACAATAATAAGATTGTTGGCATTTAAGCTTAAGTTCACCTTAAAGAAAAAAGAAATAGAAGCAGCTTGTTTTTGCAGGGAAAAAAAAATGCTCCTATTTTTTTTTTTCTAATGAGCCTGCAGAGCATTGCACCCACGATCAGTAGATCATGGGTGGAATGTTACATTCCTGCAGACACTGCCTCCAGCTTGCCTACCCATACTTCTATACGTGCAGACAGTTACAAAGCTGGAGGAAGTGTCAAACAACCAGAGCACTCAGTAGAAAACTAAAAGCCATCTGGCGCAGTGGCAGACGGAACGTGTAGTGCATTCCTGCACAGATTACTGTGAATGAATGACCTGGATGTGTGAGTGGAACTGTGCACTGCTTCTCTGTTTTGCTTATAGTCCTACTTTTAAGCTTATGTAGCATAACTAAAAACTTTAGATAAAGCTACAGGCCCCTTTTACCCCACTAGCGGTATTCCCGAGTGTAGCTTGGGGTTAACTTGTCAGTACCAGAAGCGGTAACCCCGAGCTACACTCGGGATTACACTGCAGCATTGCTCTGGGATCCCTCGAGCACTTACCTTGTCCTGTGGTCCCACGATGCGCCCCTGCAACGTCCCCAGCCATGTCCCCTGGCCGATGCCAGCATCTGTCTTCCGGTTTCCGTTCCCTGCGAGCATCGGTACGTATTGGGGGCAGAACCGGCAGGAATTTAAAAAATTTGGCTTTCACTCAATACACTAAAATCTGATAGTATTACATTACTGTATCAACCCATTTCACATACATTCTGTCCTGCGCCCTGCCTGCACTTGTACTGTTCTTTCTGCCTGGAAACTGAGAAATGTCCATGGCATCCAAAAAGCGTCCCTTTTAGGTCAAAAGCGGTTTTAGACCAGCTAGAGAACAGCGATAGTAAATAAGAACTACTTGCAGAATTGAGTGATAATGATTCGTGGGGAAATTCGTCATCAGACACTGAAAACGACTCTGTGACTTTGCTCAGGGATGTGCGAACTTGGCGCTATATTTCAAATTTCAGTGTTTTTGGTTTGATTACATTATTGAACTAAATGTATTATTACTATTTATGATGATTTATTATATTATTTATGATTTCGGGTTTCAAATTTTATCATACCCAGGATGTTTACTAGACTCTTGTTCAGACAGAATTCAGTGAGTTATTCCTAAAAATTACAGGCCTACAATAAAAAAAACTACATATTTCCATTGAAAACAATGTACCGCATTGAGCACAGAAATATTATTATTATACAGGATTTATATAGCGCCAACAGTTTGCTTAGTGCTTTACAATATAATGGGAGACAGTACAGCAACAATCCAGTTCAATACAAGAGGGATAGGAGGGCACTGCTCCTTGGAGCTTACAATCTAGGAGATACTGACATAATCAGACCGCCAGGGATGGTAAAGCATAGAAAGTTGGTGTTTTTTTATTAAATTATACAAAATGTTTCACATGATGGAGTGGATCTAGAGCTAGCATGATTAGCATTGCATCCCTCACGAATGTAAGACCATTATACTCTGAAGGAGACAAATGTTTTATGACTTCTAGTTGACTACTCTCTACCAGCAGGTTTACCAGTGCTATCATTCAGCATAGCAGGGGGAGGGGTCAGCATGGATCATAGCACAATGTTCAGATAAACGTCTTATGCTGGCCATACACAATATAAAAATATGCTCGATATGATAATGATTTGAACATTCAACCGGTTTTCTAATAGTGGATGACAATCAATTGTTTTCAAAGCCAAAAATTTGATTGAAAAGTTTAAAATATTTTTATTGAATGAAGTTTGTAAGGTTAGTGGCTTTCACATATGGTAAAAATTGATTTTTCTTCTGCGCATGTGCAAGTTCAATTTTATTTCATCATTTCCTTTATCATGTGACCAAATCAAATGATAAACTGATTAATGTATGTCTATTGAATGATTGATTTATTTTTCGAAATTTGGTTGTTACAAGATGGTAGTATCTTTTAGCACTGCCGAACATTGTTTAGTTTTTCTCACCATCGAGCAATTTTTCATGTAGCGTATGGCCAGCATTAGTTTCACTGGAAGCATCAGGGGACACTTGGCACACAACACAAAGAAAATTGAGAATCTGAGAGAGGGGCAGTGGCTTCAGTGCTGTGCTGCACTTCCTCCATAGGATTGCCCATAAATTGGGCTCTGGTTTTGGGTAGAACTACAATCAGCAGAAACACACATGCTATATGCACTTGAATCCTCGTGGCATTTAACAAGGATTTATAAGTTGTAGTGACACTTCTTGAATATACTGCCTGTATTGTGTAATCAATGTAGCATGAGTGTAATTGTCCCAATGCTTCATTTGGTTATTAGCGCTGGTAATATATAGGTATGAGGTTTTCCAAAACTTTTGCATGTGGTATTGCTGATATGTTGTAGCTAGTTGCATGTCACATGAGTGTTGCTGTTACGAGAGTCACAGCCAGGATTCCCCTTGTAATCTGGTCCTGGATTTTACGTAATGCCACAGAACAGCTGTTATCCTCGGGACAGGTTTGTCTTGAATGGGCAACAGATGGACACAGGATAAGCTGTGCTAACAAGCTTTGCTCTTTTTACCTCCCGTGTATACAAATTCTTCTTTCAGAGTCGTAGTAATACTGTTTTAAAGATCTGATTTTCATTTCCAGACATGGCACCTTATTGTTTATCATACCCTATCTTGTTGTAATATCTGTTGAGTGAGCATATCTTGAGCATTGATTGCATTCTATACCTGAAAGCATTTTTTTTTTTTTAAACTGTGTTTTTGACATACAGCGACATACAGATAATCTACAGCAAAACATTGTACTTGGCATGCCCTAATGCATTCAAATAGTGACACATCTCAGAAGTAGTACAAAACAGCCATCGTCGTACAATATACAGTGCACATTATCAGAATTCTTCGCAAAAGAAATTAAGCCAGAATGGCAACAGATATACCCATGCCGACAAGTATACATATAGCACTTTTCTTGTACATTAAATTATACCAAACCTTAATATCTGCTATATAAAAAAAAAAAAAAAAAAAAAAAAAAATCTGGAGTGTATGAATGTCCGCTCCATTCACTGATCCAGTCGCCTCACCAATGCTCCATCCTGCCCACCTCATACCTATATTTAAAAAAATACTGTTAGCCATCTACAGAAATACTCAACTAGGTACCTCTACTTCCTACCTCTAGTTTCCACTGCTGTTTCTGAAGAATCTACCCAATGAGGGTAATTTTTGGGCACCCTCTGGCCTCATAAGTCATTCTATATAAGGGGATATCTGCATTTACTAGTTTCTTCTAATTTCCCAGTCTGCTAATATCTGTGTTTCCAGTAAAATCCAAAA